AGAAAATATGATTATGGGGAGAATGCAGATGTCTGGCACATAGGAAATGAAAACTATTGGCTAGTGTTACCTGATCTGATAAAAGGGAGGTCAGGGATTCATCAAAGAAGGGAATCACTAACTTGATTCTAAAAACGAATTTATCATTTCACTTCTCATACTATTCAGACTCCCCAGTTTGTGATGGTAGGATTGAGCTAGATGGTTTCTCTGTGCCTCTAATACAGATTTCAGTATTGGAATATACTAATTCAAAGGTATTTTTGCTAGGAGCTTTTACAAAGGTTATCTTGGTTGATCACTCCAATCTTAGAAGGAATCATGGTAGCTGACACACATAGCTGGGCACTACTCCTACATGTAAATGTGTTAACTCATCTCATACTCAAAATAACCTTATGAGACCGATATTCATACTATCTTCATATTACAGTAGAAGAAATGAGGCATATGGTACAGAGAGAGCAACTGGTTTAAATTCTCATAGCTAGAAAATGGCAGATCTGGGTCCAACCAGAGTCCGACTCTGAAATTTCTGATCTTAACTTCTACATGTACTGACACTCTAAAGAGCAGTTGTATTTACCTCTAGTTTATGAATTATTATGCCAAAGACACATGACTAGTAAACTAAAAACAGCAACAACAACAAACAGGATAAGAATCCAGAATTGTCTGTCACCCATGTCTATACTTTGTTTCCTATGTCACACCACAGAGATGTTTTCTGAGAATGAGGACCCCCAAGGAAAGGTTTAGGCGAGAGGAAATTTATGTCTGTGGGAAAGCTCAGAGTATGAGACTTCTGTCAACACCAGGACCCACTGCATACAGACATACTGGCAACCTCGGCATGACAGCAGCATCTACTTCCCTCAAATCTGAGTCTCATCTTCGGGGGGGTGAAAATGTAAAGAATACGGGATGAACCTCAACCTTCAAACCCACCCTGTCTGATGTTGGGTCACGTTGGTAGAGCCAGTTTTTTTTTTTTTTTCCTTTTATCTTGACCCTGACGCTATGACGATGGACAGTCTCACTTTGTCTTCTTCAAGTGGCCTGTGTTTCACAAAGATCTAAACAACAATAGCTCTAAGGAACACCCGATTCAAATTTGGAGAGAATAAATCATTACTATCAATAATTCTTTCAAATGCTGAAAACTAAATATCATTAATTAAGTTTCTGTCTATATTATACACGACTTTAACAAATGCTACACAAATTAAACTGAATAATGCCTGTTTTCAGAGTTTACAAACTATATCATGTATGTTTTTAAAAGCCTAAATTGCATTTTTTATGAAAATATAATTATACTACCCAATCTTGTGGGCAGAATTTAAGATGATAACATGGAGATGTGTAGATAATAGAAGAACTTTCCACACTCTGGTTCCCAAAATGCTCTGCACCACCACCGGCTACATCCCTGCTCATTTCCTGGCAAACTCTCAGCACAGAATTCCAGGTCTCATAAACACAATTCCAACCTGTGTCTTCAGTCATGACCCTTTCTGTCCCTTAGACGTAACTCTTAAAGATCAACCAATACCTGCCTCAAGAGGAAAGTCTGCATTTTCTACCTTCATGGGCTTCTTCATGCAACAGTTCCTGTGATGTCCTAACTCAGGTATCATTGCAATCTCTTCTTTAAGACAAACTTCAAATTGTATCATCTCCTCTATGAAGCCTTTCTTCACTGCTCCAACAAAAATTGCTTTTCTCTTTTCTGAGCCATCAGACATTTTTATGAAGCATATATTATATTACACAAATCCATTTATACATGCACATAATACCTATTATAATTAGTTATATTATCTTCTTTGTAATGTTTAGCTAATTTTCCAAATTAGGCTACAAATTTCATATGACCGGTGACTGTGATTGGCTCCTGAACTTGCCTTTCATAGTGTTTGAAACACACTGATTCAATAAACATTGAACAGTTATTTTATTAATAATAATGTTGAGCTGGGGATGTGGCACAGTAGTAAGACATTTCCCTAACATGCGCAGGGCCCAGGTTCAATCACTAGAGCTACAAGAAGTAAAATAAAATAAATAATGTTAATGATACAGTGAACTCTTGTGAAGTACAACTGTGGGCCCAAATGACATTTATGTTTTATAAATTTAGTATTGAAAATCCTTTCACTGGGAGAATTGAGACCTAATAAGTTTAAATAAATTGTTCAAGGTTACACAGAAAGTAGATTTCTCAACTCTTATAGCAGTAGACTACACCTTGAATTCAAATTTGTTAGATTCTCAACCAGCTCAACACTGAGTAAAGTGATAAAACGTAAAATATATATAGTTTGTAAATTTATAGATAAACTGCAAGGTATGAAACAAATTTATTCTGTAATACTGAGGAGGGCTACTTTTCTAACTTATTCTTAAAGATTAGATATGAGTTTAAAATATCTATTTATATAATTAGCATAAGAAATGTAAATATGATGAAAACAGTTCTGAGACATTTACTTAGAAGAATGATGATGTGGGAGCAAATTCAGTTTTCATACTGTAATCAAACAAAAGCAGAATCTTGTTAAGTTTAATAGTTTTGGGCTAAATTTTTGACAGTAATATTTTAGCCCTGATCCGTGAGCATGTTATTTAATCTTTGCAAGTCAGCATTTCCCCAGTGTTGTATGGTCACTAATAATGAGAACTTTCAGAGGCATTTTGGATATTAGATGAGTATTAAATAGGAGGAAAACCTACTAGAGTATCTAATAGAGTGGCAACTCCTCTGATGTGGAGTATTATTGTTTTTATCAATAATATTTTACGTCAAGGTAGTAAGCTAAGCCAGTGTTCCTTGAGAAGAATGGAGAACAAAGCTGCCCTTACTCTTTCTGTTCTTCATGTGGTGACAGAACTTCTAAGAGCAGAAAGGAAAGGAAACAAAGGCCAGCATCAGCCATCCTCAAATCCCTACACTTTCTTCTTTTCAAATTTTCACTTCCTTGCTCTTAATTCCATTGTGTCATCAAAATAATGAAAACCAAATTACAATCTCTTCACTTATATCTGCAATGCCTGCTCTGCTGACTTGCACACATCTTTCGGAGAACAGGCTCCTTCAAAGCAACAGCAGCATCACAGCACTTAGCCTCAGTCCCATGGGTACACAAACACCATAACCACCTTGTTTTGTTTTCACATGTTTTCCAATTTGTTATCCTAACTTCAGTTCCCTCAAATGTTAATTGGGTTTAGTATCCACTAGCAGGGCTGCTCTGCAGAATAAATGCATCCGTAGCCATGCACGGCGCAGCACAGAGAGGCACTCAGTAGTGACTTTGTCCCACTGAGGTTCCTCCTAAGTTAGAGAATCATCAAACTCTTCAGATCCACTTGGAACACCAGCAAGGGATGCATGGTTTGGCTTTGAAAAGATTTATTTTGTTTAACTAAGACACAGAATGGCAATTAGCAAGGGACAAGTTACAGACACTATTGATTATGCTTGCAACCAAGTCAATGACCTGAAAGTAACACGTTTTTCTTTTAAAAATAAAATACCCTTGAAAAATCCCTGCACTACTTAGTTTCCTAGAACGTAAGTACCTGGAAACTCAAAATCTGCAGAAAGTCAAAAAGGCCCCAAGGATCAGTGCAGTTTTTCCTCTGCCTTATTTTCAAACGGAGAAAACACAAGGATGAGGCTGGACTTTGGGTTTTGCTACCTGTCAGAAAACTGCAATGCCAACAAGCAAAGCAAAACATTTCCTGGGACAAGGTCGAACCATTATGTTGGAGATTAAATTGAACGCATCTATCACAGTACCTGTGATAAACAAAATTACTTTGAAGTTATCAAAACGTTGATCGGTTTGTTCATAAAATTCTATTTTGTGAGTTTAAAACATATTATTTTGTAAACTTAAATTAAATTTTCCTTAAAATCAAAAAAGGTGAACAGAAAGCTTAAAGGATACAACAGATGTTCTTAACATTGCTAACAGGAATTTATAATTCAAGTACTGTAAATAAAAATTCACTTTCCTTTTCCATTTTTTAATTTACTATTCATTATATAGAGGGAAGCTCCTCTAGTACTAAAAGAACCATAATGTAGCAAGTTTTCTAAAGAAACACCACCCATTCTCCTACAAATAACTTTGCACTGTTACATATGTAATTTATGAGGTGATTTTTATTCCTACCGTTTCACATGAATGTGTATATACACTCATGTGCAACAGCACGGATCTGCATTTTCATGCTCTCATACACAGACTTCTAGTCCATAAATCCAAAGGGCTTTTCCAATCAGGTTCCAGGAGACAAGGACTGGAGCCCAAGGAAGGAGCAGCCTTTAAATAAACCTGAAGTGCTCTTGTGATTGAGACACAGCGCCGACCTCCCAGCAAAGCACTGTTGCTGAGGCCTCTTCATTTAGAAATTCCCACATTCCCAGTTAGAATCCTCACTCCACCCCGCACCCCGTCGGCTTAGCCCACTGGGTCCTTTCATCTGAACCCGGGGAGAAACCGTAAAAGGAGACTGTGTGCCTGGACTCTGGAAGCGGGAGTCCCTTCCACACCCCAGCAATCGACTCCTTTCCCTCGCCACTGCCCGGCTGCTGCTCATCTTTGCGCGGCTTAAAGAGAGGTGGGAGGGTCAACGAAGCGAGGCCACGGGGAGAGCGAGCCCAGCTTCACGCCCTGGGCTGGCCTCCTCCCGGCGCCCGACACCCCCCATCACCTCGTACAGCCCCTCTCCCTTTCCATCTCCTCCCGCGTGCCCCAACACTGCGGCCGCCGCAAGGGCTGCGGGGTGGTGCGCGGGAAAATTGGGGGGCTTCCTTCGCCCCAGCCCTGCACACCCTGGAAGAAAGCCCCCCGGGGAAGGGCTGCTACAACTTGGACGAACTTAGGCGGCCACAAAGGCTGCCGCGCCTCACCCTGCGGGCGGCCGGGCCTCCACCCCGAGGGCGAGGGCGAGGGCGCGGGCGCGGGCGCGCACCACCCCGGGCTTACCACGAGCACGGGGACCCCGGCGGCCAGCGAGTAGAGGAGCACGGGGGGCACGGCGCTGCTGTCCTCCGGGCCCGGGTAGGGCTTGCGGTAGGCGCTGTCGTGGCAGAAGAAGCCCTGCACGTTCACGGTGAACGTGTCGGTGTATTCGAAGTAGTACGCCAGCATCACCGTCCCTGCCATGATCACCATCTGGAAATAGAGCATGCTGCTGGTGAGCGCCGCGGGCAGCCGGGGCATGCACGCCTCCCGGCCGAGCCTGGCGAGCCCCCGCCCGGGTCCTCGGAGGGAGGCAGCCGCCCGGCGCGGGGGCGACGGGAGGACGCGGAGCGCGGAGGGAGGCGGCCGCTGGAGCGCAGGCGGAGCAGTCCGGGCTGGAGGCTGCGGAGGAGGCGGCTACCCCCGGACGAGCCCCCGCTCCCCTGCCCGCCCCCTGCCCGCCGCAAGCGCCGCCCGCCCGGGCGCGGGGTCGTGCGGAAAGGCGGGGGGTCCCCGGCGCGGGAGCATTCGTGGGACTGCGGTGCTGGGTCAAGCCCGCCGGGTCCCCGGAGGACGCGGCGGTGGCTGGCAGGACGGCAGCACCTGGACCCCTGGGGGCGGAGGCTGTGGAGCGGGAGAAGCTCCCCGAGGGGGTTAAAACCAAAATCGGTAGGGGAGGGGAGGCAATAGAGATGGAGCTTCTAGAAACTCCCTTTCGAGGCACCAGCTGGGCTGTTTAAGAAACCAGCATAGCGCCTGGGAAAAGGATGCGTGACTCGTCTTCAGCGCGCAAAGGCCACCCGAGCGCAAAGTGGTTGGTGCCGCGCAGTGAGTTCAGCCCGCGCGTTCAGCCGCACTGCCTTGGCTTCCTTAACCCGCGCGGGATGCCGGAGAGAGGTGGTTTCTGGGCGCAGTTGGAAAAATGAAATCAGAGGATTTAAGACTGGTTTCTTGGCCTCCTCTCCAGCTTCATGGGGCCTTCTATATAAGAATGCTTGTAGCTCCATCTCTTGTACACCTGCTCCTTCTCCGTTCCGTGTATTCTCTTGCTCATCTTCTCAGTCTGCTTTTAGTAGGTGTTAATGAGACCAGCCATTGTAGATTGGGGGCGGGGAGGACCCACAGGTACCAGTCAGCAGGGCAGAGGACAGGGCTGTTTGGCTCATTGCTGTATTTCAGGAGTTCAAGGAACTGCAGGGATTCCTCTGGGGTCAGGTGAAAGGAGGAGACCAGCGCAGGTTTGCAGCACTTGCATACAAAATGAACCCATAACCCATACGTGGATATCCATGCGTGTGTGTGAATCTGCAAGTAGCTGTAGAACTACATATATATGCAAAGAACCTGTTCTGAGAGGCTTTGTGGGTCCCTGCTTGCAAGCTCAGAGGCTGACACTGCTCACACCCTCCACTCCAAGTGACAGGGAGGAGACTTCCATGTAAGGCAAGGGGAGAAAAATTTTCTTAGAACTCTGCCCTTCTCATTAAAGCATATAGCTACTTTAGCAGGCTTCAAGAATGTTAATTCATTTTAACAGGTTGTTGCCTGGTCCACTTTTAGATGTGGGCTTTTATTCATTAGGAAAATACAGCATCTTTAGACTAATGGAAAGCTATTTAAATTTGGCAGATCATTGGTATTTGGGGATAGGAAGTAATGGTATTGTTTTAAAAATTTTGAGTAGGCATTTTATAGCTCCATGTTATGGTAAATTATCATTCAACAACTAACCAGAGCATGCTGCACAGACTGCACTAAATCATGTGTGCAACAAGCAGTGTGGGACAGTGGAAGTCAACTGTTCCTATATGGACAAGCATGATATCATATGTGAAAATATAACTACTCTAAGATAGATGGGTTTAAGTTTTCACTCAGAAAATTATTCTAGGACTATAAGAGTGTTTTAAACTGCTTCTGTATTTCTAAATAGGAATCCTACTTTGTATATACTATTTGTGTATTATAGGAATAGGCCTTCCCACTTCGTAGAATTTTTGGAAGAATGATGCTAATTACTAATAGTAACTAATAATTTGTTCCAGAATGCATTAAATGAAAATGTATTGTAACACACAGATAATGTACACTGAGTGCTTTGTATTGTATATATAACAAGGTGAAACCCTTGTCCTGTTACCAGCATGATCAATGTATGGCTCGTAGGTATTCAATAAGTATTTGTTGAATAAATTAATCAACTCTCCTGACAACAGGAAAGTGTTTTAGCTTATGAAATATGTCAGAAAACCTTGCTTATGTCTCTGCATAAGCATAGCCTGCACACTGGCATAATCACACTGACATAGAATATTTGAGGCGTGTGCAAGCAGCAGGTTTCGTTACTACCTCAGTTCACATGCACCCAGCTCTGGAAACCTGGCCAAGGCACTTGACCTCCTTTGCTTTAATTTATCCCCCAGCAGAGCTGACAGATTCCAGCACCACTTTGCAAGTTTCACATGAGGCTTAAATGATTCTCATTTCATTGTATCAAGCATATTCTAAGTCACCTGTACAGTGCTTATTTTCTATGATTTGACTTCTAAATGTAAATACATCTAATTTACAAAACTCATTTCATTTCAACATCTTCCACCAGTCACTTCCTTCTCACTTTATTACCTACAAACTGCTACTAGGCTTATCCCTATTTCTCTAACTGTAAATTTTTAAATATATTTTTGTATATTCTATTTGCTCTTTTAGATACTACCTCAGGAATCAGATATTTTTACTTCAGAATTCTAATATTCCCCATTATTTACTTAATTAATGATGATTAAAGAGTATTGTTGAGTGATTCATGGTTGACTAACCATCTGATGCTGAAATTCAAAGGCAATATTGAATCTTACATTATAAAGATATAAACATTAAATTCACTTTCAATGAATATTTAAACAGAATGGATATTCAGGGAAACACTTCAAGGTGGATAAGCCCTTGAGCTGCTTACTTTACCTGCTCTTCCTCCTTGGTAAAATGAACTATGTTTTCTGACCTCTGGTTAATTTTACCAGTTACGTGAAACAATGTTAACTATCTGGCCAAAGAAGGTACTAATTTAGTGTATTTCACTTTATTTCTGTTAACTCATTTATTTCCCACGATGCATCTTTTCAACTGCAGATAAATAATCCTTCAAAATCCTGCCTTAATTCTCTTTCAAACTTCTGACTCTTTCTAGATTAAAAGCAGAATTATTGATATTTAATCTACTTGAATACAGATTAATTCTTAATTTAATTCTTAAGCACATTGTTGTGATTTCCATTGTATTGTAGGGATCAGCCTTTCTTAACTGTTCTGTCCTTCAAACTTTCCCACCTCAGCTCCCCTCATTGAAGATAAAATAAATGAAAAAAATTATACTTTCATTTTCCAACTTCCAGTATTTAATATTATATTTAGATGCTCATGACTTAGCCACTCATAACCCCATCATGTATATCTATTGTAAAACACTGTGACATGGTAAAGTAGTGGGGAAACTCCCATTAAGTTCAACACCTCTCTTCCCTTCACACCAATACTATGTGCTCCGGCAAGAATTAGTAAAATGCTAGACCATGATGAAAAGATATAACCCTTATCCACAGGGTTTCTATTTTCCTGCTAACACAAAAGTACAGAATGTCCAAATGGAGGGGACCTTTATGTTAATGAATAGCTTGAGTAGGAAGCTTCAAACATTTGTTTAAGGCTGATGGTTGCATTCTCATTTAGCTTTGAAAACCTGAGGTGTTTGCTAGAAAGGTATCCATAATGAATGCCCAACTCTTCAAGACTATTACCAGTTAGGTTTTATGCAACTAATCTGTTATAATTAATATATCAACTAGTGATGATTTCTTTATGTCTTTTTTTTTTTTTTTTTTTTTGGAAATCCTGTACCATTTCTACCCTTTTTCCTGTTTTGCTTTTTTTTTTTTTTTATAAAACATAGAGATTTCTGGTAAAAGGCTAAGGATTTGGTCTTCACTATATTAGGGACAGAATGCTTTTAACAAAGAGATTTCTCACCATTTTCAAAGAAAGTACAAAATGATAAATAATGATAATGATTTTTGTGTGTTTCTGGTAATTAATCTGCAAGCCTAGAAATTTTCCTGAAATTTTCTCGATCCATGAGCAAAAAACAGACAGACAACATAATCTTCAGTGCATAGCTGAGATGGTAAAATACGAAGATTTAGATAGCTTTATATGAGACAAACTAGGGAAGTATCCTTAAATAATAGAATCTTTTTTAAACAACAGCATAACATATATTCATAATGGTAAATTTGAGCTAAACATATTTAAGGAGATTAACTGTGAAAAGTTAGACAAATTTGTACTAATGAAGAATTTTAAACATTAGCATATAGGTTTGTAGAAGATCTCATGAAACAAGACTGAGACAGTTTTGTTTTTTTAATAAGTTAAGTAGCCGCTTTAAGAATAACTAAGAACAACTGGTAATTCATTCTACAATTATTGAAAGTTGATGGCAAAAGACAGTATCTACCTGCTCTTTATAGGGTTAAATCTGGACAATGAATGAATACAGTAGTCTAATAATATCCAGACTACTTGACAGAGAATAATCCTATATCTTGAATGAGAAATAAGACATAGATCTGTTAAATTATGAAATATGGTACTTAAAAACACTCATACTAATTCAGATACCACATTCTGAAAAACATTAAAAACAGGAACAATTGACATTACACCCTGGACTTCTTGTTTCTGACATTACGGAGGACTGCATCCTCACAGAATCATTTCTGGTGCTTTATTTAGGAAACAACTACTTCCTCAAGGAAAAAAAAGGAAGAACGAAAAAGCCAGAATGGTAATTTGAGTGTCTGTTTTTTACACCCTCCCTGTAATGGGCTGATTATCTCACAGGCCAGATGCTCCTGACCTGGACAAGTGGTATTTATCCTTAGCTGGCCTCACTGAGATGTAAAGTTCCTTATTGCGTGACTACATTAGGGCTTCTTCTGTTCTACATTTCGAATGTTTTAGTTTAGTTTTCCTTTTTTCACTTTCAAGATAGTTATCACAGACCACATATTTTATTAGTGAAGCTAGTTATTTTTCACTGAAACAATACATTAGCAACTTTCTGCCACTGGGACAAAATACTTGACATAAACAAGTTAGAGAAGAAAGAGTCATTTTGGCTTACAGCTTCAGAGGTTTCAGTCCATAGTCAGCTGGCTTCAAAGCAGAAGCACGGTGGAGAACGGTGAAGGTTTTAGAAAGCTGTGGAATTCAAGGCAGACAGAGGAAAGGAGGGAGAAAGGAAGGGGGCAGACAATTACAGTCCCCAAAGTCATGCCCTCATGACCCCTTTTCCCAACTAAGCGCTAACATTCCCTTAGTTCCAAGTAATGCCACCATGCACTGAG